CAGTGAAAGCAAGTCACGAATATATTCTCTACCCATTTGTGTCATGTATTTTTCGTCACTGATACAAATATTGTAAACAAAGTAAAAGTTTGTTTTTAAAAACACCTTTTTCAAGCATATTATCGTGAAACGACAAGAAAAAATACTAAAATATAAAAATGGCATACCTTTTCCATTGTCCTTTTAGTAGAAAAACGTTAAGTTAATTAAATCAAAACAGATTCATTTTTGTGGGTAGCCCGTTCGCGGGCTACCCACTATCATATACGAAAAAACGATGAGCGATGATGATAAGCGCGCGATGTCTGTCCGCCGAGTTTGGTTATCTACGAAAGACACTGGGTCGATACAATGGGTCGATAAGCCGAAGTAAGTACGACAGTTTGGCGATCGAAAGTTCGGTATTTCGTCGGAAACTCAGAAACCAAAACAACTTTGCTGTGGGAAGTGACCTGCGACCAACTCATTAAAAGTCTCAAAATATACTCTAAATTTTGCGATAGATGAGTCGAAGAAGCGGTAAGTTACTATTTTTTGTTCATTTTTTTATAATATTTACAACGCTGTTTTGCCTTTTCGCCCTTTTGTTGGCTTTTGATCTGCTCGATTGGTGTTGTAAATCATATATTGTATTGGGTCACAACAGCGAGGTTTTTATACACAGGCAATCCCGTTGTTTATGTTTAGGATGTAAATAGAAAGTCAACCAAATGGCAAATGTCGGTGTGCTTTGTGGTTTGGTCGAGTAGTATGATTTGAATCTCCATCGTTATTTGTTTGAGTGATTAATACTTTTATTTGAAATGTGGAATCCAAGAGGCAAGAGTTCAGTAGTTGTTCACTAGAGTATTACCATATATGTACAGAATAGGGACCCAAATTTCAAAATCGTCATGGGTACCTCTTTTTTGTATATGGTATAAGTAAGAGTTATAAACCGAGAATGTGGCATATTACAGTATATTTACCCCAAACACAACAAATTTAACAATAAGTAAGAGTTGTAAACCTAGAACGCGGCATATAAGAAGTCATACATTTACCCCAAACACAACACATTTAACAAGTACCTGGGATATAAGTCATACATAGATCCCAAGGTGATACCCAGACACAAATAGTTGCTAACCCAAGTACTGGTGACCATTCAATAGCTATAGCCTTACACGTTCTAAGCCGAGTTACAACAATTGAAGGATTATATATATATATATATATATATGGGTGTGCAGCATGGCGAGCAGACGTGTTAACGTGAGCTCTGCAGATTTGGCTGATTCTTTGCTAGAATTTATAAATGATGATACTAATAATATCTTTATCGACGAAAGTAAAACATTTTCAACTCTTATACATGTTGACGAGGACAATTATTTCTGGAATGGTGAATTATCTCAGCTAAAAAGTTTTGTCCAAAATATCTTAAAGTTGACCGGCATATGGTCTTCACCTGGTGGTGAAACAAAGGTGTTCAAAAGCAACGAAGTTACCTTGAAATGGTCGGGTCAAACGCGTAGAAAGCTAGCAATTATAAAGGATACGGAAGCAAATCTTGTGGCGAACACTTTTTTTAACTTATACAACAATACAAATCCCATACCGACCGAAGCTTCGCCTTCAGGCAATAAAGACGAGATGGTCCAACTTAAACTTGAACATCCAACGATATGGGCTGCTATAAATGGTATTAAGGACACCCTGAAAATCAAATTGGACGAGAAATCATCGGTTGAAGAGAGCAAACTCGCGAAAATTGAAGCTGAGTTATGTAAAGTCCGTGCAGATTATAAATGCGAAATCGAAAAATTGAATGCCAAATATAGTGAATTGTCGCTCGAACAAGAATCTACTAAATTTGTTCTTGAATCTAGACTAAAAGAAGCTGAATTTAAACTAAAAGAAACTAAATCTGAAGTTGGTAATCTAAAAGAAAATATCCAGAGTTTAAAATATGACAATAATTTTTTATTGGATATTTTACAGTCGAATGAATCGATTTGGTCTAAACCGAAAAGAACGTGCCCAAGCAAATCAATCCTCGATCGAGCTGAATTGTCTATTCTAAACACATTTGGATCTCTCGAGGCTGACGAAACTAACGTAGTAGAGAGGGCAACATATAATGAAGTCGATGCTACATGTAGTTCAACAAATCAAGACGAATCAGTTGTCATTGAAAATGAAACGACGAACTCTGCGGTTGATGAAGTCACTCGAGGCGAAACAGAGCCGCAAGCTAATGTTAGTCCCAGTGGAGAAATTCAGGCCAACAATTAAAGTCTAAACCCGGCAAACCCGGCACAAGGCCACACTCTGGAGGCAAATTCGAATTCGAAGTCGATTGAGGATGGGGGACGTTTAATATCGAATGTTTACGAAGACCAGGTAACCGATTATCGAAACTCCCAAAAGCGAAAGTTTAAAGCAAGTAAGAAAACACTGCTTGTCGGAGACTCGATGACTAAACACATCTGTAATCAAAAGGTTGGTAGAGCGTGTCGAGGATCGTCTAAATGTTACACATATAGCGGAGCTACCGTAAGTACTCTAGAAACTAAGCTAGACTCCATAATGGCTAATGAGTCGTTTTCAAATTTGATTATCCACGTTGGCACCAATGATTTAGTGCACAAGCCAGCTGAAGCAGTTGCAGGAGATCTTGAAAATTTAGTAATGAAATTCAAAGGCTGCACAAATAATATAGCTATTTCTAGTGTGATCATGAGAAACGATGGTAGAGTAAACGCAGAGAAAATACTTTTGCTAAATCGTATTATAAATCAATGGTGTATTAACAAAAATGTGCACTTCATTGATAACTCAAATATAAACTGTACACATTTGAATAGATCTAATTTACATCTTAACAAAGCAGGAGATAGGGTATTAGGAAAAAATATCTGTGCATATTTAAAGTTAATAAGAATGGGATATGTAAATCAACCTCGAAATGAGCTTGTAAATTCGCAATCCCATTTTTTATACAAACAGAAGAAGTCTACGAACAAATATCCGCCTCTGATGAGGGTAAATCATTCAGCGACGTGGGAAGCTCACCTAAATCGTGTAACATACATGACAAGGAAGCGATGAGCTTGGAGAATCTGCAAAATGAGTTCTCTGGTACCGCTCCAGTAATAGATAATACATGCATGCTTGATATAAATTCAGAAATAAATAGTCAGAGTACGTGTGATAAATCTCCCAGCAATTACGATCCTTTATCGAATATCAAAGCGCTGAAAGGTTTCAAAATTGCGGCACTTAATATTGCTAGTCTTGTAAGCCACATAGATGAATTAAAAATGGTCATGTCCAGCCAGACTCTTGATATTTTAGCAATTAATGAGACGCGTTTAGACAGCACAATTGCTGACAAGGATATTTCAATAATAGGATACAATGTAGTACGTAAAGATAGAAATAGACATGGGGGTGGAGTTCTGCTATACGTAAAGGAGACATGGAATTTTTTGACCAAACAAATAACTTCTGATATTGATCTTGAAATATTAACTATCGAGATTATAGGTAAATTCGTAAAACCATTTTTGGTTACTACCTGATACAGACCTCCAGCAAGTGAATTAAATGTTCTTGATACATTTGAAACCTATATCCAGTCGCTAGAAATGGAGGAAAAGGAATCTATAATACTAGGCGATTTCAACTGTAATGTCCTGGAGATAAATAAATCTCCACATACATCGAAACTTACTTCTCTATATGATGAATATCAGTATACTCAGCTTATTAAACAACCTACACGTATTACAAGCAGTACGCAAACTTTAATTGATCACTTTGCTACAACAGCGTCTCATCGTATAAGGAGTAGTGGAGTATGTCACCTTTCTATCAGTGACCATAGTTTGATATATGCAGTGCGTCGTATGATAATACCACGCGAGCGACCTAGGATTATTGAGA